CACACCCCCTGACATCACCAGAAGTGTGTCGGAAGGCAACACCCACCGCTGAGGCTCCACTGGACTGTTTTGGATTGCTAGCTATTGGGGAAGGGGAATGTGCAGATCTGTCCTCACAGAGGAGGGAGAGCTCATTCCTGAATAAAACTTGGTCTTAATGGTGCCACTGGACTGTTTTGGACTGGGGGGCTGGGGGGGAGCTCTGCAACTTACCTGGCTGCTTCTTGCTCTGACTGAGGGCTGCTGGGAGCAGGGGGTGGGGCTTGTTGCATGTGCCCGCCCCCTGGGCTCTTTACTGCCGGAACTCTGCTCCTGTGTGCTCCTGCAGGAAATGATCCCTGCTGATGGACCTCGGCTCCATAGTAGCTAGGGGAGACACTGCTTATCTTCTGAGATCTGATGAGACTGGAGTAACCTGAGCCATCCGGGTCATGGCATACAGTGTGAGTACCACTGCTCTGTTCCCATTTAGAGATGACATTTCCCAAGCAATATATGGCTGAGGATACATGCTGCAGTTCTACTAGTGAAGCTAGGCAAGCTCCGGCCCCAAAAGATGCATGGCAGGGAGACCCCCTTGTGGGAGCCCTGTACCAGCTACCGTAGGCTCTTCAGAAAGGGAGGTGGGGGGTATTACTGCAGCTAAGAAACAAACTTCTTTAAGATACCAAATGAGCTGTGAAGCTGGAGGTATAGCCTTCAACAGAGAGTTTCTGTGAAAACAGCAATTACTCCTGTACCAAATAATGCAAGCTCACTTGCTCAATAGGTTTGCCTGGAGCAAAAGCTCTTTCTGAAACTCATAAACTACCCAAATGTAACCCTCAGTTTTCCCAAGCACCTGCTTGCAAAGAATATTTTCAGTGGCAGCAGGGGAACATCCTGTGGAGCTTAGGAAGAGAATGTTAAGAAGCCGGCAAACCTGTTCAGGTGGCCTGAAGTCAAGGAATGTGTTCTAGAAACATAGAGCTAGAAGGGAACCTCAAAGGACATCTAGTCCAACCCCTTGAACAACGCAGGAAATTCACAACTACCCCCACCCCCCACTCTCTAGAAAGAGAGGCCCATGCGGACAGCTGTTTTTCTTATATCTCTTTTCCTTATTTGAATTCAGAGATTAAACCTTCTCTGCTCCTCTCTTTGGATAACATTTGCACATCAGGGAACAGATAACGATAGAAACAACAAAACCGCAGTTAAACCAAAGTAGGATGCATACAAATCAGGAACCAAGGAAAGGGAGCGCCTGCTGCTCATTTTGTGTTCACAGATCAGAGAAAAGGCCTTTGGGGGTTACCAAATCACTGTCTTTTCATGCAAAGGAATCTACTCACTGGAAGGCCAAGTCCTTGAAGTCCAGTAAGGTTAAAACTTCCATCTGAAGTGTTGAGGGTCTGAAAACGAAGGATGAAGAACAGGCAGTGTCAGGCATCCGTTGTATCGGGAGCAGTGTTCCCGCTAAGCTGAGTTAGTGTGAGCCAGCTCACAGTTCTTTATTCTCGAGCTCACCCATTTTTGTCTTAGCTCAGGAAGGATGATTCCAGAGCCAAACTAATTTATGCAGCAGCCAAATCGCTCGCTCACAGCTTCAATGCCAGTAGCTCACAAAGTAGACTTTTTGCTCACAAGACTCCACAGCTTAGAGGGAGCATTGGACAGGAGCCACTGGCGCTGGTTCTGAGTCCAGAGCTTGTCTCACTCTCCAGGGTTGCTTTTTGTTGGGCAAGTGCCCCAGGATGGAGCCTCAGAACAGGACAAGAGGAGGGGGTTTCTTTTCACCCAGTTTCCCACCTGCTTTTCTTCCACTGCTGCTCCTGGGCATGCCTTTTAATTGATTCCCCCAAGGGATGACCAACCTTGGGCTTAGCCAGTCCTCCCTCCCCAAACCAGTCCTGGGGAGTGACAGAGGCCGAGGCCTCCCCTGGTGTTGCCTCCTGGCTCTGGGATTCAGAGGACTAGTGCCTCTGAATGTGGAGGTCCCCCTCAGCCACCGTGGCTAGTGATAGATGGACCCTCCACGAATCTCTCTGATCCCCTTTTAAAGCTGTTCATTCCTGTGGCCATCACAACATCCCCAACAGTGAATTCCACATTTTAATCACTTTCTGTGTAAAGTAGTATTTCCTTTTGTCCATCCTGAACCTACTGGCTGCTTTGGAGGGTGGCTGCCAACACCGTTTTAGACAAGAATTTAGCAATTAAAAAACTGCAGTGACAGTATCATATGATCTTGTTCTCTTCCCCCCCCCATGCATTTTCAACTGCTGAAGGAGGAAGGTGGGGATATAAATGCTAAAATAAAATGAAAATAAATACAAATGAAACAGCTCTCCACAACCGTTTCGGTGCTTGAAAATGTGCAATTGGGGGGGGGGGATACAACAAGATCACATGGTGCCACTGAACTACTTGTGCCAATTTTTAAACAGATAAATTCTCATCTAAAATGGTGCCAGCGGCCGCAGGTTGTCCTGTGCTGGCCCGTGACACCCCCATGCAATGTGTATCCTGGCTTTTTAAGAAGAGGAATGGCACAGGTCTCTTTGTAAGTATAGGACTGGATAAACCATGTCCCTTTTGATTCTTGCCTTAGGATTCTGCCTGAAACACTGGTTGTTCCCAATGATCGGTGCTTTCTGGGATTTATGTGTCGTTATTACAGATTCTTTTACTATAGACCTTGGGGTGTTTAATGACAATGGTTTGGGGGAAGGTCTCAAGCAGTTCCACTAGGCTCTTGCCAGGCCTAGGCACAGGTGGGCTGAGGACCAGATGGGAGGATGTGATGCAGCTCACTTCAGGTTTCAAAATGAAACTGTGGCAGCCATTTTGGGTTACCTGGGCAACCGTAGACAAGAGTCTCTGTGGACTGGCATCGATGGCACAGATTTGACAACAAGATTGAGGATTTCTGAAATGCTCTGAGGGTATGGGGCAATGTTCCCTCTAAGCTGTGGAGTCTTGTGAGCAGAAATTCTGCTTTGTGAGCTAATGGTATTAAAGTTGTGAGTGAGCGGTTTGGCTTCTGCATAAATCAGCTTGCTCTGGAGCCCTCCTTCCTGAGCTAAGACAAAAATGCGTGAGCTGGAGGCTAAAAAACTGTGAGCCAGCTCACACCAACTCAGCTTAGAGGGAACACTGGTCTGGGGCAGGGTCTTCAACAAATCTGGAAGTAATTGTTTCATCCAGATTCCACAACTGGCAAGTGTTGGTGGCAAATCTAAAATGCAGTTTCAATAAAGCAAAAGGGTGATGCTATACTTACCCTTGGAATGGCTATAATGGGCCCGGGTGGTCCAGGTGGCCCGGGTGGTCCAATAACACTAGCCCCTGGTTCCCCTGGTTCACCCTGTGTCAAGAGAACAATGATTTCATTTTTAAAAGGCTGTTTCTATAACAACTGAGATCAAAACAGGCATCGAATTGCAGAAAATGTCGTTTCCTCTTACCTTGGGTCCTAGGTCACCTTTTTCACCTTTAGATCCCTGAATTTAATCGAAAAGTGAGTATTAGTTGTAGAGGATTATAAAGATTGTGACACTGATAACAAAAATAATCATATGGATCACACATGCCAAAATCTTTCCCCCTAGAATGGTGCACTGGAAGTTTTGACTGACCAATATTTTTTTTCTCCGGAGGACCAAACCGACAAGTGGTGGTGAGCCCGGGTCCATCCCGTGGCTGCTGACGCCCTTTTAGAAGCGTTTGTAGCTTGTTAAAAATTGCAGCAAGGCCCCAATCCAGGATAGCTCTGGTTTCCCTCCTCCAGATCAGGGTCTCGTGGCAATTTTTAAAGAACTACAAATGCTTCTAAAATGGCATCAGCAGCCGCGGGATGGACCAGTGCCCAGCGTCACTTGTTGGTTTGGCTCTGGGTGAGGCCCACGTCCACACGCCATCTAGAGGGGGCAGTGCCCCACCCTTGCATTGCAGGTGACTCGGCCTCAGCAACACCTCTGTCACTGGCCAACTTCATTCTGACCAGCTGTCAGAACCAATTCAATAAGACTCGAACTGCAGACATGCAGACGTGACAAAGCCAACCCATCCCTTTGCTTTAAAAATGGGGGGGGGGAGATGCCCTGCTTGCCTTTGCCATAATTGCTGCAAGATACAAAAAAGGGGGGGGGGAATCCATAAGCAACGTTCTGAGTCTGTACTGCAATTTAATCTGAAATATATCCAGTGGTGGGCTTGTAAAAAAGAAAATCTGGAACGGCGGGGCTGTATGCGATGGCAATTTGTAGGCGCAGCACATACGGCTACAACCACACCTTGCCCATTCCCCTGTCGTGTGCGTTGCTGCCCTTATCTGACTTTGGGCACCTTCACACTAGTCAGGAAAGAGTTCTCCATGTTTTAGAATATGAATAAAACTGTGTTGGTCTTAAAAGTGCCGCTGGGCTCAAACTTTGTTCTTTCCCCTTTGAAACTTTTGTGAAGAGTCTGTGGAGACTCAGACAGGAGTAGGGCTGCCAGGTCTTACCTGGGGGGCTCCGGCCCAGGTCCCTGGGTCTTCTGGTGTGCATCCCCCCCCACGGGACATGTCTGGCGCGATGACATCACCTCCAGGTGGGGGGGCTCCAGCCCGGGTCCCGAGACCTTCTGGTGCACGTCTTCCCACGTGATGTGCCTGGCATGATAATGTCACATCTGGGTGCCATCATCGTGCCAGGCACGTCAGGCGCACCAGGGGGCTCCTCGGGGATGCCCCCATCAGGGGGATGGCAACCCTACACGGCAGTCTGCAGGATAAGGTACGAGTCCAGTGGCACCTTTAAAGATGGGTTAAAATGGGCAGGAAAAGGACAAAAGGGGTCCATCTGAACAGGGTCTGGGGTGCTAGAAGAGCCCAAGACTTTTCACGTGGCCGTCAGCTACTTTATGCAGCAGATCACCTGAAACAACCTTTGCATTACTTCAGGTTTTGAATGAGCTGAATGTCCTCTTGGAACAGCACGTTTCCCCCTGATGCTCCATATTTGGTGTCCAGTTGCACATGCTTAAAAGGCCCCGATGTGAATTTTGCTACGAGTTTTCTTGCCTTTCGCCGAAACGCCCTGCTTCCTCACACCAAAAACTGAAATACAACCCCAGCCATTCCCATGTAACTCCTGGATG